AAAACGTTTTTGATATTTTCCTTTACTTATTTCTGGATTGTGTACCTTTTGTTCTCAGTTTGTATAGAATTTGTGGTATGTAGGAGAGTTAGTGTGTGTGTGACATGTGAGTTGTGATGTGTTCTGCGGTGTTTCCTGTAACAGTTTAAAACGTAACTGTCAGTTTGGTTGTTTTTATTAGTTGGAGTGAATGGGTTTCATGCCGAGACAAAACTTTGCTTTTCTTGTTTATTCATTTTGAATGTTGTCAGATTAGTATTTTAAGAATGTTTAGAAAGAAAAAGTGATGTTACAAACAATACAACCACATGTCTCTCGAGGAAATAGCCTATTATGTTAATTACTTAATTTTTTTCCATTTAATTTTTAACAACATTCTTTTTAACAACCTTTAAGTGAAGTGTCTATTATCTCGTTGTGACCCTTCTCAAAGTCTCACTCTCTCTCTTTGTCAAATTTCTTTTCTATATTAAAATGCTTTAATGTTTGGCAAACAGAACCAAATCTTTTAATAATTGTAAATAAAGACATAATTTTGACAATCCAGTGGCTTTTGATAGTCTGGCCAGCAGCTTAAACCTATGTGGCGCTTCCGTTTGGTGATTAAGATACCACGTTGTCAACACTAATAGCACATAAAATTACAATCTTTTCGTTTTTTTCAACAAAAGCATGAAGTTTTGCTATGTTGCAAAGAATCCAAGAGAATTTTTCGTTGTTTTTTTTTTCCTAATAAATTAGGATCTTTTCGTTTTTTTCTTCAAAGAAAAGCATGAAGTTTTGTTCTAACTGCAAAGAATTTATTACTATATAATACGGTTAAGAAAAACTAAGTGGATAATTCAAAAATAATTCGAAAATAAAAAGTAATTTTTTCGCTTTTTTATTTCGTTTTTCACCATTTTGGGTAAAGATTTTTTATTTTTTTTGCATTCCCGCTCATGCAATTTGGTTTTGGAGATTAACTTTTTCAAATCTTTTCAAGTGTGTAAATTAGTTGGCAATTTCCGAATTTTGTTACCAAAATATCCGGTCATTTATTTTTTTATAATTCACCAACGTTTGAATCTTAATGCCAGCAAAGGATTTTAAGTACACAAAACAATAGTGACTAGAAACATATCGCAAAACTTTTGCAATTAAAATAAAACCATGCCCCATACATGCATCCACTACAATAGAAGCACACGTCTAAACAATAACCACACACGACTATTATATATATACTGAGTACCCACAGAAGAAAAAATAAAGAAAGTAATTGGACACATTACAATGTTAGGAAAAAATTATTTTTAAAGTTTGTATTTATCCTAGAAAAAGTTGACTGATATTTATCCCAACTTATCCACATATAATGTGGTTAATAGTTTTGGTTTCTTTTCTTGATCATTTGTTTAAAGCCAATATCTTAAACATTAATGAATATTTGTTTTTCATTTATAATCTAGTGTGATTATACTTTACCATAATAAAATAAATATTGCATAGTTTTCTTATGATTTGATGGCGCAATCGATTTCTTAAAATAATATCTACTCATATGTTAGTTTATTCTTTTTCGCGCTTTTGTAATTTTTTTAAAAATTACATTTCTATATAAATATATTTAAAAATTACATTCCTATATAATATAAATTGCACCGTCCATGATAAGTTTTGACAAAAAATATACCTAATCCATGCAATATAATACAGTTAAGAAAAAATCAGAAAAAATCCGAAAGTGGAAAGTCATTTTCCCACTTTTATTTTTTTTTTTTTAATTTTTTTCATAACTCCCGCCTATGCAATTTGGTTATGCGGATGGAATTTTTCATAAATTTGGATATGATTTATTTATATCACGTAAATCTTTCCAACCAAAATTAGTTCAAATATGTTAACCAATCAATTCGGATATCTATTACCTAAAATGATAGGATATTGTTAACTAAAATGATAGGAATTTGGTAATATTTATTTAAAAACACGTGTGAATCTTTTGAAATCTATACCTATATTTATGGATTCTTTTTCTCTTTCTTAATGATTTCCATTCCTCTTTAAATATATACCGAGTTTTTGGTTTTTTTATCCTTCATCACATCTAAGAATTTTTGAAAACGTGCATAATAGAATTTAAGAGATTAGTTATAGATATAACTAACAACTTCCGATTGTTAGTTAGAGATATAATAGGTTAGTTATAATATTGGAAAATGCTCCTTCCCCCGCCATGTACTCACTCCCTTGCCTACTCCCTGATATTTAGTCAGTGCAAAAGATGTGTTAATTTTAAGTATATAATTAATAAAGCAAAAATAAAGATAATAATATAAATATCAGGGATACTAATTTAGGTTCACTCATGAATTTTCTAAAAACACAACGTTGAGATTTATTTTTCGTTTTATTTATGTTTTTTTACATCTTTTTTTTATTTTAGTATTTTTTTTTAATTTTTGGTGGGTCAGGTGTGGGGAGTTAAATAAAGATAATAATTTAGGTTCACACATGAATTTTCTAAAATATTTATATTATTATCTTTATTTTTGCTTTATTAATTATATGCTTAAAATTAACACATCTTTTGCATTATTACGGACTAAATATCAGAGAGTAGGCGAGGGAGTGAGTACATGGCGGGGGAAGTAGCATTTTCCTATAATATTACCATCATTGTACGTCTGATTTAAAATAATATATACTTATATATTAAAAAAATTTAAAGTGTTAATTTATTCTTTTTCACGTTATTTTGATTATTTAAAAAATTACATTCCTATATAAATATATTTAAAAATTACATTCCTATATAATTACATTTCATAGTCCATGATAATAATTGACTAAAAAATATACTTAATTGTTTATTAATGCGATATTATTCGATATTTGTGTAAAACCGTTCGGGTTATCGATACCTAATTAGTTTATTTTTTTATTTTCTAAATATCATATAATATTCATAATATCACAATATTTTACTACTAAATTTCATTGGAATAACTATTAAATTTTTTGAAAGGCTTGAATCAATATAATCCATACTTTTATTTAGTTGCTTATTTAATAAAGACACATTCAATATAAATAAAACGGAAACAAATAATTAATAAAAAATAAAAATAAGATAAATTCTCACTTAAATTTTTTAATAATTAGCATTAATTGTAACTTTATCGAAAAATTTGAAATTTTGGGATATACATGAATATACATGGATATCTAATAAAAAAATATAATTAAATATTCCATAAAACTACAACATGAAAAAAAAAAACACTTTGTAGTGAAGATTTATGTCCATATTATGAAAATATCAATAATTAATAAAAAAAACAGGTTTTGAAAATCAAATCAACAAATATACGTCCCTTCATTATCGAATTTTTTAACTAATAAAGTAATAAAATAGATAATATATGTCCATTGATATGGAAATATGGAGATTTTTTTTATTACATATTTACGTATTCATAGGTATGAACTAAATTGATTTTAAAATATGGTATAAGATAATATTTGGATTTCTCTTCTACTTTGATCGGTAATTTGACTAACGTTGACCATTGAATAAATTGGTATGAGGTATACATTGAAATTGAATCTGAAAGTGCTTAAAAAAATCGGATTATTTTGATTTGTAAAAAAAAAACAAAAAAAAACAAAAAATAAAACAAAACTTAATTTTTGTATTCTTTCCATTACTATTTGTACAACAATCATAGATTAGATAATTTATTAATAAAAAAAAGAATCAAAACTGCAAGGTATAATAATATTACTTAAATAAAAAATATTGTGTAAAGAAAGAGAAGGGTTTAGTAATATATGTTTTTCATTGTTTCTATTTATATATAAATAATTATACTTAAAATAACTAAAAAATGTTTAAAATATGAGCTAGTCCGTGCATCGCACGGAACATGCATTAGTTAAGAGTTAAACTCGGTTTGTTGAGTGTGATTGGATATAAATCTTAATAAGTTGATTTGAATTATGTTTGAGTGAGATTCTGATTTTATATTAAAATAATATTTATAATAAAAGAATTAAAGTTGATTTGATGTATAAATATAAAAAAAGTGATTGAAAGTGACGAATAGTTAAAATTATGTGAGTGAATGTATAGTGAATTAAAGTTAATGTAATGTGTAAGGATTATTGATTGATATTATTTAATTATATTGATAATACTGATAAATGTTAAAATTGAGTAGAACCTATATTAAATTTGAATTGTGATTAGATTTTTTTTGTTATGGTTTATATTCAATCACACTCTTAATATTAATAAACAAACCAAACTTGGCTAGATCTGATTAAAGCTTGACCCATGACTCAAGCTCGCTAGCTTACACTGTTAAATTAAACGAGTCTGGCTCGACTCGGCTTGAGCTCGACTCATTAAAGCTCGAGTTCGAGCCGAGCTCGAGCTTATTTAAAGCTCATTTAATTAAGAAGCCAAACTCGGCCCAACTCGATAAGACTCGAAAAGATAATTTTTATATAATTTTATACAGTTCGATTCGTTAAAACTCGAGATCAACTTGCTCATAGTAAGAAACGAGCCAACTCGATTTCGATTTCTGGCTCGTTAATTTAACGGTTCGGCTCGTTTACAGGTCTACTTACACTACTCTATGCCACTAGCATGGAGAACTTGCAATCACTATTCACTACTCTAAACTTGGCAAAACCCTACTAAAACCTCCAGTCATGAATTTCCTCTGCCAACCTCTCTCCACCCACATCCGCCGCCGCTGCCGCCACCACCAAATCCGCACCCTCTACGACGCCGTATCCTCCTTGAAATGCCCCCGAGACCGCGGCCTCGACCACGCGGTGGAGCGCGAGCGCCATCTGAAACCCTTGCTCAATCTCAAAAACCTCATCCTCTCTGAGCCATCCAAATCGATCCCACTCTCCCTGATAACCGAATCGAGAGAAACACTAGGAATCCCTTTCCGCCCCATCGAGTTCATCCGAAAATACCCCTCGATTTTTCAGGAATTCCACCCGGGCTCGCTCAACATCCAGCCCCACATCAAGCTCGCCCCTGAAATCATCTCCTTGAACTCCGAGGAGAATCTTATCTACCAGCGCGTGGATTACAAGCAGGAAGTGGCTCGACGGCTTTTGAAGCTGCTGATGATCGGCAGAATCAATAAAATCCCGATTCTTCTGCTGGAGAGGTTGAAATGGGAGCTGGGTTTGCCTCCGGACTATCAAAAGGATGTGATTCCCGAGTTTCCGGATTATTTCCGGGTGGTTAACGAGAAAAGTCTTGGTGAAAGCGAGAAAATACTCGAGCTGGTTTGCTGGACCGAGGAATTTGCAGTTTCAGAAATGGAGAAGAAAGGGGCAAAAGGTGGAAAGACCCAGTTTTTCCTGCAGTATTCAACAGGGTTCGAGATGGACAAGAAGTATAAGAAATGGGTTGAGGAGTGGCAAAAGTTGCCGTACATTTCGCCTTATGAAAATGCGATGCATTTAGCTGCAAAGACGGACGAGTCGGATAAATGGGCTGTTTCAGTTTTGCATGAGTTGCTTAATATTTTCGTCGGGAAGAAGGTGGAAAGGAATAGCCTGCTTTTTCTGGGGGAGTATTTAGGGATGAGGTCGAGATTCAAGCTGGCATTTTTGCAGCACCCAGGGATTTTCTATCTGTCTAGCAAAACCGGGACTCGTACTGTGGTTTTGAGGGAGGGGTATAAGAGGGGTGCGTTGATCGAGAGGCACCCCTTGATGGATATGAGATTCAAGTATGTTCAGCTGATGAATGTGGTTACAGATAATGAGAAGGCAAAAAGTCCGGAGAAAAGGAATGATGAGGATAAGAAGGGTAGTGAAGGAAAAGAAATGGATTTGGAGGGTAGTGGGGAAGATAATGTTGAAATGAGTGAGTCGTTTGATGAAGATGAGGATGATTCTGATGATGAATTTGAGGGTTGGCGTGTGAGAGGGCAATTTAAAAGGAGAGATGAGATTGTTGAAGAGAGAGATTCTAGAAGAAATGTGTCAAGGAGGTTTAATAGGAGAACAGTGGAGAAAGGTAATTACAAGAGGTTTGAGGATAATGCTGAAATGAGTGAGTCGTCTGATGAAGATGAGGATGATTATGATGATGGATTTGAGGGTGAAAATTCGCGTAAGAGAAGGGGATTTAAAAGGAGAGATGAGATTGTTGAAGAGAGAGATTCTAGAAGAAATGTGTCGAGGAGGTTTAATGGGAGAACAGAGGAGAAAGGTAATTACAAGAGGTTTGAGGGTGGGGACACGAGTAAAAGAGGGGGATTTAGGGGGAAAGGTGAAAATTTTGAAGTAAATAATTCTACAAGAAATGGGACGAGGAGGGCTAGTAGAAGAAGGGATGAGGACAGTAATTACAGGGGTTATGAAGTTGAAAATGCGGGTGGAAGAGGGAAATTCAGAAGGAATGGTGAAAATTTCGACAACCAGAATTATGGAAGAAATGTGACAAGGGATGGTAATTTTAGGGGGTTTGAGGGTGAAAATGCGGGTAAACGAGGGGGATTCAGAATGAAAGGTGAAGACTTTGAAGGGAAGAATTATAGAAGAAATGTGTCGAGGAGGGAAAATGGACGAAATAATGACGAAAATGTGCATAAAAGCTCGAGAAGGTTTTCAGGGAGAACTAATGCCCGGCATGGGGATACGAATATCCCTAGATTACCCACTCAGAAGTTCGATTTCTCTGGAAATAATGCTGGGATTTAAACAGATGAATTTTGTATAATGGGCTTTTTTACTGGAGAACAAGATTTCTGATTCAACTTGCAATTTATCCAGATAAGATCAGTATTCAGATAAGATCAATATTCTTACTTCAGAGATTGATCTTATTTTTTGCTCTACTTAAAATCACGAGTCAACATTAGTAAGCATGCATTTTTTTAAACAGGCATACAAGTTTGATTTTGCCGGCCAACATTTCATGCGAAACTGAACAAATAAAAAAAGAAGGTATTTATTCTGTGATCATCCTGTTTTTTACTGGGTTGCTGGTTCATCACTTTTCCCATGTGTATTAACAATTGACAATTGTATCTGATCTNAAAAGAAGAAGAGTGATCTGCATAACTTTGAAAGATTAGTTGTGTTCTTTGTTTTTGTTTTCGTTCACAGTAATCCATATCATCTATAATCCTAGCTTTGTTTGGCTATAGTAAGAAGAACGTATGACCAAAATCCTGCACAGAAAAAGCCAACTTTTCACAGTTGTCACCTCGTCTGCATTTAGGCCTTTTTTTGGCGCATTTTAGTTCCTTTGCCAACATTCAACCTGTGATCCTAACTTCCTAAGTTAGACCTTTTTCCAACCGATACTCAAAACACAAAAAATGCAGTAAAAATTGCCCAATCGAACGCCAAACGCAATTGCAAAATGAGTTTTCTGGTTTCTCTCTCCTTGTTCAAAATGAACACATAAAATGCGTTGGATCTTTTCAAAATGCTATTGACTCCAATTGTTTTGATAAATTACATAAAAGGCCCACAATACAAATAAAAATAAAAATAGATTTTTAGGTTTTAATTCATTTATATTATCAATACTTCTATTATAATATATATTCTATTTACTTATTCAGTAATTAACATTTTGTTTACATGCCGTTATTAGCTTCATAAACATCATCTAAAAGATAATATATGCAGTAATATTTTTGTTTTTAGAAATTATATGTATTAATTTATTTATTGTTAGCTAATAAATTTATGCAGCCATAAAATTATTTTTTAAACAAATTATATGACTTAATTTTTTTTTTTGTTAGCGAGTATATTTTTGATATGTTAATTTTTAAATATTATATAAATGTGCAAAAATTAGTAGAAATATCTTTTTTTTAAACNATTAGTAGAACTGTCTTTTTTTAAAAAAAAAATTATATGGCTTAATTTTTTTTTGTTAGCGATTATACTTTTGATGTGTTAATTTTGTTAATTTTATATAAATATGTAAAAATTAGTAGAAATATATTTTTGGTTGTCTATTTTGTTTTTTATTATGTTGTTATGTAAATATCTTAAAAAACTAGTGTAATACTGTTAAAGTTTTTTTCCTAATCCATGAACAAAATTGTATTAACAAGTAAGGTTGTAGCAATAAATTTAAGGAAAAAAAAAAGTGTAATACTACAAACTTATAGACTGTAATGCTAAATCTAACATTTTCAAAATATTTGAAAAAGAATATATGTAAAAATGAATATTGTAGAAAAAGTATAGATTGTAAATGCAAATAATATATAATATTTTAAAATATTTTTCGACATTGATACAGAAAAATTAAATTTCATGAATTGTACATGTGTAACAAATATTTATTACAATTTTTCATATGTTCGAATTATTGATTTGTAATTAATTTTATTATTTTATTATAATCAAATGTTGAAATTGTAGTACTGTCTAATTTATAAATTTAATAAATATGTGGGTCGTATTGAAAAGTTGTAAGAGTTAATAAAGAATATTCTGAGAATATTCTTTTAAATTTGAGAATAGGTATATCGGTTGGAGATGAATTACTGTTTGATGTAACAGTTACTGCAAAATGAGTTTAGATTTGAGAATGAGTTTTTCGGTTGGAGATGAACTTACATCTTTAACATGTTACAACCATAAAGCCAGCTGTACTAAGCTAGTTGTTCCCCCTTTTTTGTTGTTTATTTATTTCATTTATTGTAAATATTGGTTTCATCTGTCTCTGTACAAAAAAGATTTTGCATTCATGTTTTATTAATTCTTGGTAACTAATTTTTTGAGTAAAATTGAGCATTCATGTTAATTAATTTTCGTGGTAATTATATTTGGGATGCCTTCTTTTTTTGTTATGAGCAATTTGAGGCTAAATTAGAGGTATGATCAGAGATTAGAGATTACTCATATTACTTGTTTCAAAATTAGGAGCTTCTTGGAATAGAGAATTGTAAAGTAGCTCTTTGCATAATAAACTACTCAAGACTATTTTTTTTTTTGTACAATGAACCTTCCGGTTTCCGAATCCCCTAGGAGACCGACTAATCCGGAATCGAGCCGGGTAGGACCACAAAGGGCGGCAAAGCTCTACCTCAAGAGTTTTAACACAGCTGCATTCTCAGGGCTCGAACTCGAGACCTCTGGTTAAGTTGGGAGAGACCCCAACCATCTCACCCACGTGCTCTTGGGTACTCAAGACTATTAATCTATCGTAAGCTAGTCAAAATGTTAATTCAATAGTCTGAGATGAGCAAAAACACCTTAATAAAATAATAGTAGGATCAGACAGTTCAAAGAAAATGCCAAAAAAAAATAGCTATTTTGTTGGGGAGAAAATGAAGGTTATAAAAAGAAAAGCACGAAAAAGTAACGATGAATCGTTATTGAAAAAGTATAGTTGTCATCGTCATCGTTAGTATGCTTAATAAGAATAATTTTGTGTAATTTTGAGGGAAGTTTGCACCTCTCTTTAAGTTGCTTAAGTGTGAAGCTTATTCCAATCCCATACACGTTTTCTAGACAGAATATTACCCAAAAGAAGCTTTTAACCCACCTTTAGCAAAA